AACAAAACAAGACGAATAAATTTTTTTGTCTTTTTTTTTCTATCATCAGTACGAACCGCCAAATGTACCATATAAACTTTCATCATTAAATGGTGCATTACTAATATTTGTAGCTAAAACACAAAAAAACAATTAACAATATCATTTTGTTAAAAATGATCACGAATTTAAAAAGACTAACCTGTTGCTGATTCATGTTCACCAATTAATTGTCCAATTTTATCAATAACAGGTAAGAAAGCTGCTGTTTGTTGTAATCGTGCAAGACATGAACGCATATTAACAAAATCATCAGGTCCAATATTATTTGTAACTGATGTTTTTGATTGTACATAAGCATTTAATTGTCTAAAATGTTCCATTTCATTATCAAGAACTTGATTTAATTTTAAACGTTGTTCAGCTAATCGTTTATCGAATGATGCTAATTGTGCTTGTTGTCTTCTTGCATCATCTAATAAACGTTGAAAATCAGTTGGAAATTGTTGTTGATGTTCAGCTAAATGTCTAATACAAAGAAATAGTTGACAATGTCGACAAATAGTAAATTGGTATGCATCACATTGGGATTGTTGACATAATGAGGGAGATGATAATATTGAAGCCATGTCTTGATTTTCTTTTCTTCTTTGAAGAAGAAAAAAAATACTTTTTTTCTAACCACAAGAAAAAAAGGAAGAATAGAAAAGACTAACTTGTAAACCAATCGATCAAAATCAACTAGAGAAATAAAATAAATAAACAAAACAGCTGGAGAGAAGAAATGAAACAAACAAATGAGTGACATCTATTTTTTATCGATATTCAGCGGCATCTAGCATTGTTGTAATAATTATGAATTAAAGTTTAATTTAGATAAATGAATTATTCTTCTCAAATATTTTTAAATAAAATTTTATATTCAATAGAGGTCATAAAACGTAGATCGTTATCTGATTGGTTTATGCTTATAGCGAACAAATAAATATACGAAAAAATTTGTTCATATTTTGAGTTTCATTCATATTTTAAGTTTCATAATGCCGAAAAAATCTCGTTCGAAAAATAAAAGTCATAGTGGCGTAGATAAAAAAGGTAAAATATTGAAAACCAAACGTAAAACCAAAGATCTCGATGAAGTTCAAGCAAATATGGCGGCTGAAACAGCTCGTGAATTATTAAATCAACCCATTGATTATGATGTACCTGGTGCAGGTCAGCATTATTGTCTTTATTGCGCGTAAGAGAATAGAATTTTTTTTTCAATTTGATATATCTTTAGTTTATTATTATTTCTTTTTTGAATAGACGTTATTTTATTGATGATCACAATTTACAGCATCATTTAAAAAGTAAAGTTCATAAACGACGAGTAAAAGATTTAAAAACTGAAGCATATACGTTGAAAGAAGCTGAACGAGCAGCTGGAAAAGGACAATATCGACCACCGCGATCTGTTCATGTGCCCGATAATCAAAACAATCTTTATAAAATGGATACTGATTTTGTTGAAGATGTTGTTTCATCGGATAATAAATAATGTTGTTGTTTTGACTTGTTAAATCTCCTGTTATATACAGAGCGTTCTAGAAATGCATCAGTAAACTTTATGCAATTATCTTCTATACAATTCAGGCGATACAATTATCATTTTTTTTGAAAATAAAATGACAGTATATTCTTTTAAGTTTTATTTCATATAATTTAGATTACAACAAATTTTCAAAATGACTACCATCGACTATAGGTGACGAATCCATAAGCCTGAGGTAGTCTCGTGCACTTTTCTTCTTCCATCAGCTTGGTAGATTTGAGCAGTGCATAACATTTTGTGTCGCCTTTGGTGGCTCATAATAGCATTTTCTTAATCAAGTAGACTTAGAATATTTCTGCTTCGCCATTTAATTTTACACAAGTTGAGATTTTTTTTTGATTTGTACCACTGTTAGATAGAGCAAAATGCGAGTTCGATAAAAGAGACACTAACTTTGTTTCATATAAATAAGATTCAAAAACTTGTTTTCTCTCGTTTTTGACTTTCAGATGAGGATCTTATAAAAAAATGTTGAGCTCATCCTAGAATCAAAACATTTTTCGAATTTATTTATTCCCTTTATCGGTTCTTTTTTTAAATTTAAACAAAGCTTTATATATATATATCTTACACATAGGTTTTTACATAATATTTATTGATAAATCATTTAAATGAGAAGAAAATTCATCCGCAAAAAAACAAGTTCTCCTGAATGTCGATGTTTTCTAACATTGATATCAAAGTTGTTGAATAAATTCACGGTTTTCATGAAAAATATGCATTCATTATTTGGTATGCTATTGCTGGGTCATAAAAAGTATTTCACAGAAGAAAAATTCAAAGAATATAGTATAATATGTATTTAAATTGCTTGAACTGTTTAAGAGTTATTTACGAAAAAGTTTTTCATGGATTTTTAGTGCGTCCTTTCTATCAATCTATGTCAGAATAATTTTTATTCGATATGTAGGTTTGTTTTTATTCAGAGGTTTTCTTGGATTGAACCAATAATTGATTAAACCAAGTTATATGAAAATTGTGTAGACAACGTTAATGTTCACAATTATAGAATGCTTGCATGAATACAAGTGTATCGGTTGAAAAAAAAGAGTATGGATCATATGAATCATTGACCTGCAAATATTATATGTCCACTTAATACTAATGAAGGCATACCGAATTTAAACTACCAAAACTAAACGAATATAACAATCACTAACAGAGAGACATGACATCTACGCTTTAGATATTAGACAACCAAGAAAAGAACCCCTGAATCATTTAATAAAGTTAGAATACCTGTGATAAATATTAGTATGCTGTTGTATTATTGCTTTTGTTTCCTCTTATTTGCTCTGGTTTTAACAAAATGTCTAGCAAAATAATTAGATATTATCAGAGATTTGTTTGTCTGAACTAAACCTAAATTATATTTATAATTGATGAAATTTCTAAATTATTGAATTAAATTTATTATAGTGTGTTGTTGTTGTAAGTGGGGAGATAAAATTCTTCTCTTGACTTACAGATTCACACCCACATCTGATTCGCATGAAAATAAGACAGCAGCGAAGGAAAAAGCTCTGTAGTTAAATATCGAAAAAAGAATGATGAAAATTCAAATCTCTTTCGGTCATGGATTTTGGTCTTACGTTCAGTGCTGTGATTAGTGCATGCTTGCTGTATTAAATTCGATTGATCGAAGCTTGAGAAGTTTTTCATCGAGGACTTACAAGAATTTCTAATGTTCACTGCCGGTATTCAACAACTTTGCTAAAGAAAATAGTCTTGTTGACGCGCAGCAGAGGCAACATCTGAATCAAAGGAGTTATTTGGGAATCCGAGAAAAATAGAATCGAGCAAAAGTTCAAGAACACAAGAATCTTGCCTAGTAAGATCAATTTAGATCCATCAGTCAAGATTCTGCCTACAGAAGTCTTCTCAGAAAATCCAGATCTGTTTTCTAGGCACCAGTCTTATGTTGAGTAATACGTGAAAAAATCTTGACTGATACTCAAAAACAACAAGAATCTAGAAATAACAAAGATACAAGTCTGAATTAGTATATTTCATTGAACTGTTCATAGCAAATGGAAGATTCAATCAATTTCACATATTGTCAATTAAGCTTTTCGTTTAATTCTTCAAAAGTTGTCCTATGCACATTCCGACATCAAATCAATTGAAATGAGAAAAAAGATCATAATCTCGAGCATGCTGAAACCATTATTTATTGTTACGCCTTAGCATACAAGTGACTACTTTGATCGCAATCACATACATATATAGCGATGAATTCTGCTATGATTCTTGTAGTTCACTAAGGTCAATATCAGTTATCAAAGGTCAAGATGTCATCGAATTGTTATAAATAGCTATTAACTGAGACATGATTACGTCATTTATACAATTTGCATCCACTAGCTTTTTTTAAATACTATATGTGATTTTCAGTATACAATAAGTTTGGCATGCAATGCTTTTAATATTAGCCATCTATCAAGAAAACTATTCATGACAACAAACACAATTCATGCAATCTTTCAAAAAAAATCGGTTTACGCTGCTTGGTTTGACAGACAAAATGTCGAAAACAAAAAAGAAGAATGAAAATGAGTATGTAACAGTGACCGTGAAGGTGAAGGTGAAGACGACAGAAAATTTTCCTCCCGTATACTATCATCTTCAACATTTCTATCACTTTTGCTTTTGATCAAAATTCAGAGAATCAGAATATCGTCAAAGGTTAAAACATCAATCAAACATATACATAGAAGTGTAGAAGCTTATCTTCTACGAATTTCTCTCTGTCAAGAATTTCACTCTGAAGAACTGCCTAATCTCCATGTAAACATACGTTCAAGCAAATTGTTCGAAAAATTGAATTTAATTCGAGACATACTAAACAATACAGCATCTAGTCTACAGATTTTCTCGAGTAAGCATTAGAAAGTTTGTGGAAAAATATTGAGCAGAAGTCTTACTCAAAAATCAACAGCATCAAATAAAATTTTTCGACTGTAATCATTCTTTTCGGAATAGCAACATTTTAATAAACCATATGTAACAGGCCATTTGAACACAGCATTCGTTAACAACACCAAAACAATCGATTTCGAGAGCATGTTCAAACTCATAGAACTGTGACAACCAAATATTGTTTACTATCTATAAAAACTGTAAGTTTGTGGTACTTATATAAATGAACGTATGAACCTGAATGTGAGTTCTGGTTTATTTGAGATAATAAAGAGAAGAAAACAACTATTGAAAGACAACAGAGAAGAATCACAATTACCCGTATATGAATAAATACGCATATCTATATATACGTATAGAAAAGGAAAGATCCATATAACACTATGTATATACAGATATGAGAAGAAAGAAAAGCGCTATAGCATTGCATAAGGAAAAGTCCCTTGGAAAGTATATAATCTTAATAGGTAAATTCCAAGATGAAAGAATGTCATATGCATCTTGGAAATTACCAACATGAACGAGAATGATGTATGGGAAATGTTTTACTATGTAAACCAGGAATATCATCCGGTATATACATCTGAGAATAGTGACCGTTTGCTACACATATTGCATCAAATTGTTCTGAATAAACTGCATAGTGTTCATTTTTCTCCAATAAATTTTGATTAGGACGTTTAGATATTTCGTTTTCTGTACCCAATCGTACTGTATATGTAACTGTAAATGTTTCATCAATTGAATTAACTTCTGCATTTAAAACTATATATTTAAATAGTTGATGTTTTTCAGCATAAGCCATTAAATATTCTTCTACTTCTTTATAGCCAACATGAGATTCAGGTTCATTATTCGGAAATGGAAAATCACTAAATTGCATAACAGAACAACGTAAATTCGTTTTTAAAGCTTTATAAACAGCTGTTGTCTCTGATGTTCCATCAGGATCATAATGCCATTGACCACAAATAAATGGATTTTTTTCAAAAATAGTTGGTTCACAATCATAATCATCTGATGCTAAAACACGTGCACATGCTAAGCCTGATGCACCACCACCAACAATACATACTCGATAATGTTTCATATTTGAAATAAATAATTTTATCTAGAAAACAAAAATTTAATGATATTTTTCTATGAAATCTGTAACGAATAATATATCAAATCTATTGTAATAATAAATATTATGAAAAGAAGGTATTTCTATTAAAGAATTCGAACGAAATGAAGATACTTTTCAATTAAAATTTTGTTTTTATAAATTAACTGATGAATCTTTGGAGGCACTGTTTTTCATATTATGTCATCAAAGTCATTGCTTGTTTTTTTATATGATTCACCTTCCATTTGACGATAAAATCTGGGTCCATTCATTTGATAAGGTGACATACAAATTAAAAAACTTGGTTTATTCACTCATTTGATAAAATAATCGACGAATGAAATATTGACTTGAATCCTCGTTGTTGAAAGTTTATTGTATAATCAATTCATATCTTCATTCTTGACTTTTTTTCCTAAACTATAAAATTTATCAATTAATTAGAAAAAAATTCTTTTATTTGAATTTCTTTTTTACATGTCAATTGATTCTAGCGACAAAATGTCAAAGAGGTTTTATCTATTAATTGAAAAAAAAGAAACATGGCTATTTATCAATCTGATGATCATCTGTTACCTCTCTGGCCTATGACATTGAACGACTAAGCTCTAGCAAAAAAACAAAAAAGAATAAATATTCTTTACAGATATGCTTATTGTCTATTATGGCATTCGAATATTTCATTTAATTATTTTAATTCTTTTATTTAAATATGGTATTACAGTAAGTTCATCGTCTGATTTAACATTACCAACGAATTTATGTACAACTGTAACGATACAAAATAAATCATTTGGTGTTATACATAGTTTAAATTTTTATTCTGGTCAATCTCAACCACCAAACATATCATGTTCATGGATAATAAATAATTCTCAAACATCAAAATGGCCAAATTATATACTTTCATTACGTGTTATTGAATTAGAAAATGATCCAACACATTGGTCAAATGAATTAACGTTTTGGACAGGTAGTAGACAAATATCAATTGATGATATTAATAAACGAACATACGTTATATCAACATCATCATCATCAATACAAATATATTTTCGTACAAAACCCCCATTATTACAAACATTTAATCCATATATACGTACTAATTTACGTATACGTCGTTTTTTAATTGAATTTATTCATATTAATAATGATTTAATAAGATATACAAATCAAAATTATTTTCATTGTTTATCAAGTGGAATATTTATACCTAAACAATGGAAATGTAATTGTATATATGAATGTTCATATGAAGATTACAGTGATGAAGATAATTGTCCATTATGTTCAATGTATGAATCATCAAATAGTTTATTATGTCAATCAAATGAAATTTGGTGTTTACCAAATACATCAAAATCTCTTAGTGATAATTTAATTGAAACAGAATATGATGAAGATGATTGGATGATACCTCATATAAATTATAGTCGAAAAATTGATCCAAAAGGTAATGATATATGACATATCAAATGAGGCAAGGTCTTCGTTTAAATTTCAATTAGATTTCAGTTTCGTTACATTTGAATTTTAAAAGAAACGATAATTATATTTGCCTTTATTTTATATGTGAAAATTTTTTTCGCATAGTATCTATTTTCATTGTGAACACTAGTCAATATATTGATATTTTTACAATGTACCGAAAGCAACTAACCCAGATTCGGTTTTGTCCGATACCAAAAATTTTGCATTCTATGCATATCTAATCATGCAAAAAGTATAGAAGCAATGTTACATAATACTCGAAGAACATATTCTCACATATATTTATCACAATAACACATTTTTCTCTTCATTTTGACGATATACTATTTGAATAAATATTGACTGTAATTTAAAACTATGATGATTTATGAATAATAGTGGAAGGCGTTTCTCTGGAAAGATTAGCAATTTGCTGTATTGATGTAAATAATGAATAGCGGCTCACCGACACAAGCTTTACTGAAGTACTGACAACCGCATTCGCTGCAATATTGACACGCCAACTCTATTAGAGATACGACTCTTTTGGGTGTGTTATGTTCCAAAGTTTCATAGAACATTAGTACCACTGTGTGAGTGTACATTATATAAGCTTAAATAAAGAATGAATACTCTGAAAAGAGTTCGTGCTTTTAACTTCTTGCTGTGGAGATACTGTAATTTTACGATATTATTTTTTTTTGAATTAATGCAGAAACATTAGAAAAACTTATTTTTAGCTTTCGATTTGAAACTTTGCATAGAGACAGTTCTTAACAAGAATACTTAATTGTAAAAGTTTTAAATCTTTTGATTAGCTGTTATGTGGAAATAAGAATATCCAATGCGTCAGTTTATATGAGCAATGCAAAAGATACACTATTACGATAGTTGTATTTTATGATAGAAATAGTGACTGAAACTAAAATATTCATAATCTCTATGAAAACTTTCAAGTCGAAAAGCAGTTTTTTCTAGTGTTCATGCATTTATTTGAAACTAGCATACAAGTGCAATATCTCCATAACAATCAACTAGATGCACATAATCTGGACTCAAAAGCGATTTATCATTTGAAGAATCTCTCTAATGAGTGGATAGATTTCGTTGGTTGCGAAGTTTTCGGTCGTGATTGAACCATCCTTTGATACTCTCAATGAAGTTTTATAATCAAAATCAGATAGGCACCTTGAAGATATGAAATACTTTTTTTTTGATTTGGTGTATTCGGTGACTATCGCCGCACCCTACATATTTAAAACTCATCGAGTTTAAGATTTTCAGACTCGTGTCCGGAATCTGTGAATCGATGATTAGTATACTGAAACCTCGCAGATACTTTGAAAAGTTTAATTTTAAGAATTGTTTTTGTTTTAAAGGAGTTTGTATTCCACATGATGAACAACAACAATGTTCTTATTCAACAAATATATCAAGCTGTGAAAGAATTCTTGCATGGCGACAAGATCATGGTCAAATTTTACTTAATAATTTAATTCTTGATAGTTATCAATCATTATGTTTTGTTATAATTGCAAAAGAAGAATATAAAATAAAATTATTTATAAATCAATATCAATTTCTTGAACATCGATCTGATCTTGAATTAATTATTTATGATGGAAGTGAAGAACAAAATCAAATACTTTTATCATCAAATTGGTTATTAAATAAAGAAATTATTCAAACACGTCAATATCATATAGCAACAATTATTATTCGAAAACGTTTACTTCAATCAATATCAATAATAACTGATTCACATCATGATGATGATGTTCTCGGATATTTAGATACAAAAGCAAGTATTCAACGACGTGATACAAATTTAGTTCTATTAAATATAACATGGTTAACAAGTATTTGTCCAGATGATCAAAAGTTATGTGGTGGTCATTTTGAAACAAAATGTTATACAAAAGAACAACGATGTGATGGTAAATTTAATGATTGCAAAAATAGATTTTTTATTTGACTTTTTTTTAAATTTTTTATTAAAAAAAAAACAGGTATTTGGGATTGTATTAGTGGTGATGATGAACTTGGTTGTTCACCCGAATCATGTCCAACAACATTTGCATGTAATGACCGATTACATTTACCATCAGATCAACCAAGATGTTTTACATGGTCAGAACGTTGTAATGGAAATGCATTTTGTGCTAATCGTACTGATGAAAAAGTTTGTTCAAATTGGTGGTGTAATTCAAATAATGGAACTTTTTTATGTAAAAATTTAAATTGTATTTATGAAACATGGGTTTGTGATGGTAAGAAAAAAATTTTGTATATTGAGATTTATATATCTGTAAAGCTTGCAATCGGTATGGGCAAGTATAAAGGTCCCTCCTTCACCCACATGCACCGAAATATTAGGTAATATAAGCAGATTTCTAGTAAAGACACTTACTAAATCAAAAAAAATTTTTTTTCTAGGTAAAAGTCTTAATTTGTTTTTTTTTTATTACATGACACATATTTAGGACTAGATCGTAATAAAGCCTAATATTTGAATTTTTCGAAAAACAAACAAAGAGAAATTCAAAACTCGGTCTCTATTACGATCGAGTCATAAGTGTACTCTACAATTTAAAAACCATCAAGACATCTTAGTTTGTATCCTCATGTTGCAAGCCTTGCCTGTGTAAAGGGTACATTTCGACAAATGAATTGACCATAACTTGTGAATATCTTTTAGATTTTGAAGGAGATATTTTTAACCATAATCTATTTCAGTCAAAATTAACATTCTCTGAATCTTTTGAATATAACAATTAGTCAATACTCAATATCTGAGTGTTTATATATAAAATTTTCAATAAAAATGCATAGAAAAAAATTCAATTAATTTTTATATCGTCAATTATAGTTATAGAAGAGAAATTCTTTTTTTTTTTTAATAATTCGTTACTGTTAGAGAGATATACGGAACTAGTTTGATGCCGGAATCGGAACCGGAATCAAGATCAAACCGGATGTGTCGGAATCAATAAAAATGAAGTTACCGGAACCGGACTAAACAATCTTAGTCTCATACATGCTTGATTATTGTACATATTTCATTGAAAATTTAGTTTCAAATTTCTTCAATAAATAATTAATTAAATTCTATATTTAGGTACTGATGATTGTGGTGATCATTCTGATGAAATAAATTGTCCATCACGTATACCTCGTCGTATTGTAACAGCTGCAGTTATTGGTGCTACTGTTTGTTCAACATTATTTATAATTGCACTTGGTTGTACATGTAAATTATTTCATTTACGTACAGCTGAACGACGTGCTACATCTCGTTTACTTAATCCTCAACATTATATTGAACAACGTCGTCAAGAAATTCAACGTGAACAAGAACGACGTTTAAATCGACAAAATAATCAAAATATTTCAACATCAACAACAATAACAGATATTTCAACAATAATATCACATGAAACAAGACGAATAGCACCACCATCTTACAATCAAACAATGGGTTTTATGGATGAAAATGAAGAACGACAAGCAGCTCTTGCTGAACATTTAAGACTTGCTGGTTTAGCTAATTATATTACAATACCACCTATATATGGTAATTCAAGAACATCAAGATCAGCATCAAGACATCGACATAGAAGACATCGAAGGCATCGTCATCATCATCATCATCATCATCATCGACGAACACATAGTGAAGGTAAATTAAATATATAAAAAACAAAAAAAATTTATTTTTTATTTTTTATTTTTTTTTTCAAAGGTTCACGTGTAGCTTTACTTGAACCAAATGTTGTTATTCCTACGAATTCTTTTCCTTTACCGTCCACATCGTTATCTTCAAATCGTTTTAATCGTTTACGTTCTCAACTTTATTCTTTATTTACAACTAATCGTACAAATTCAAATACTAATCATAACAGTATTCAAAATAATTTTCTATCAAATCAATTTGATATATATGAACATAATAATCTATCAAATACAATTCAACCAATTATTCTTAATACTCGTTCATATTTAAATTCAGATTTTATTCAATCACGTGAACTTCCACCACCATATGTGGAAGAACAATTAGCATTAGTCAATCCACCAATTAATTCAATATCAACAATAGCAAATAGTCGTCGTAGTAGTAGTGGTGGTAGTGATATGGAATCAACAAATCCAATATCATCATTATATCGCATACGTAAACGACAAATCCCAGTAAATACATTACGTGATCGTATGAGACAATTTATATCAAATTCAACAGTACGAGTAACAACAGATGATTTAAATCATTCAATACAACCAACAACAGCAACAACAACAACATTAGATAGTCATTTTGATGAACAACCACCTGTTACATCTATTGATGTTGATGAACAAGCAACTAGTGATGATTATAAAATGTTAACGCCTTAATATATATATATATATAGAGAGAGAGAGAGAGATTTTTCTCTCTTCTCTTTTATGTACAATGATGATTTATCTTTTTTTGTATATCGCGTTTCTTTTGTTCATTAATTTCTACTAACCCGATCTGATGTTGTCATGCAGGAGGAAACTTTTTATTCCAAAAGTTTTTGTTTCTTTTTGTGTGTGTACCACAGTGATCATGTTATCTTTCTCTCTTTCTCTCTTGCGCATGTAATTTTTATTTGTTTTTTCCTGGTTGTACTACAACAACTAAAGAGATACAGTGGTTCTTGTATTTTTCTACATACTCACAAAAATTAACACGTTTTTTTTTGTCTGTTCGCTATTATCTTTATTAAAAGAAAAAAAAACGTTTTTTTTTATTAGGTATAAATAAATACATTATATATATAAGTACAGATAAACAAAAGCATATAAAAGAACAACTAAAATATTCTATGATTAGATTCTCTCTAGGGTACTCATTTGTATTCATATATGATACATGCTGTCTCTTTTTCTCATCATAACTAGTGCTACGGTCAATTTCCAACAATGAACAGAATAAAGAACAAAGAAAAGCAAATTAATTCAATCTATATTGAAACAAGACATAAAATATTCCGGCGTTTTCTTTTTTGTATCTATTCTTCCGACAATGACAAGAAACATAGAAGCACAAATCAACTAATTCTGTCCAACTGAGATTTCAACTAGTTAAACTGTATGTGCATAATATTAATAATAGGAGGCGGAATGAGTAAAACAAAATGGTGTTGTCACATCATCGGATCGAATAAAATAAAGAAGAGAGGGAAAAAAAATGCTAAAGAACAAAGAAATCGAGAAAAGAAGAAAAAAAGAAAAGCAGATGAAATTCGATTGTGATCAGTAACTAACTGAATGACAAGAGAATGAGCACATTTGTCTCTCTCTCTCTCTGTCTCTATATATATATATATGCAGTTCTTTTAGTAGATAATAAGAATCACAGACACGCAACAACTACACATATTAGATTCATTGAGTAAGCAATTCAAAATCTTTTTTCTTTACATAATACATATATATTTATATGTATTTATCAAATAAAGATTTCGTAAAACTAAGTGTATTCTCAAGCACTAGTAATCGAAAATAATGTTTTATTATTGCTTGAGAGTATCCCTTAATATTCTACGATATATCGTCTATTAGTAATCGATATGTTTTTAAAAATGTCTATTTTATCTTTCAGTAAGTTAATTATCGCTATTCTTATAGAAGATATTTCATCATGAATGTGCAGTGTTACATGGAAATTGATATTTTCTGAAAGGAGAAGAAGAGTTTTTTCAGTGCCAACATCCACTCTCATCATTATGCAATGCTGTGTCAACTAGTAAATCTGAAACAAATGTTTGTTTACTTCAGATAATATTATTTATAATCTATTTTTGTATTCATGGTAAAGTACTAGCTATATGAATATCACAAAAACCTACATTTGATAGGTAACGACATCTTTTATTCAGAAGAAAACTATTGGGTTGGTCAAATCGTAAAAACGTTTTTTTATTGAAATCATTTTGTGTAGGAAAAAGAGAATAAAGAAAAAAAAAAGAATAGTTTTGTTCTGTTTTATTTCATCTCTCGCATATTAAAGAACAAGAATAAATACGCACACATACTTATATTTTAGGATCAGCTATTTGAAATTACCATGGATATGTTTCTATTTGCCCTTGGATGTTTAATATTTATATGTTTTATCTTACATCTATATACCCGACAAGTTCAACAGCAAATCAAAGATCCACATCATCGAGCATTTCAACAAGTATTTTTATTTGTTTATCTATTAGCACTTGGTAAAATAAAATGAAAATTGATGAATTTTTGTTTTTTTCAAAGATATTCATTTATTTTAGCTGGTGATTGGCTTCAAGGGCCACATGTTTATGCTTTATATGAAAGTTATGGTATTCAAAAACATGAAATTGAAATACTTTTTATTGCCGGATTTGGTTCATCTATGTTATTTGGTACAATAGTAGCTTCGTTAGCTGATAAATAGTAAATAGATGAACAAAATTAACAAAAGAAAAAATTGATTTTTTTTTTTTGAATTAACAAAATTCTTTCTTTAGTGGTCGACGTAATATATGTTTTTTATATGGAATACTCTATGGAGTATCATGTGTAACAAAGGTTAATATAAGAAAATTTAATATTTTAAATATCTTAGATATTTGCAAATTTTTTAGCATTTTCCAAATTTTCAAATATTATTTGTTGGACGATTACTTGCTGGTATGGCAACATCAATATTATTTAGTGCATTTGAATCATGGTTAGTTAGTGAACATCGACATGTATGTTGATAAAAATTAAAATACAAAGAAAATTCTTTTTATTAATTATGAAATATATATATTTTTTTTGTTTCTAGAGAAATTTTGAATCTGAAACATTAGGAATAGTATTTGCAAATGCTTATTTTGGAAATTCAGTTGTTGCTATATTATCAGGAATTATTGCTCAACTTGCTGCAAATACATTTGGATATGTGTAAGTAATTATAAAATATAGAAAATGTTTTCTTAATTGTCTAATGCAGAATTTAAATAATGGATAGGAATGTATAGTGTTGGTGGATACACTGAACAGTAAGTCAATGACATAAGATCCACTAAAACACTGACATTCACATTCGCTACCGCATTGAGACATACATTCTATCAAATGGTGTCATTTTTTGTAATAGTATATTTAGAGATATAAACCGATCGACTGATGTAACAACCTCTTTAACTGCTTCCTTCCCATTGCAATGATTTTTTTGCCTTTATATATATTACATATTACGGTAATAAAAAATCTAAAAAGATTTGGATTCCTATTTGAGATTTGACTGATAAGGAAACATTCACAAGTGTCCGAGCACTTTTGAGCATTTTGTAGATCTTAATAAATTATGTTTATCTTAAAAAAAAAAAGTTCGTGCTTATGGCTTGTTTCTGAGAAGATTGAACGTTTTTACTATAAAAGTCATTTTATCTGAAAAAAATCACGATCTCAACTAATACAAGTTGAAAATGAGTTGAGATTTTTCTTACATATAGTCACATTTGTGTGCAAGACTATTTGACACTATGAGCATAAAAGAGCTTAGAACAGTAGAACTATCAGTTTCAGAAAATGTTATGATTTTCTATATATTCACATGCTTATCAAGCATAATTTAACATTTATTGAAAAAATAAGAGCACACAGTTGATTGTAAATGAGATTGACTGTAAATGATTTTATTACTTTCGCTCAACTTAACATCAAGATTGTCAAGCATGTGATATGAATTCGTTCTATTCGTTATTTAATTCATTTATTTTCACTAAACACTTTTCATCACTCGTATACAAAAGAAAGTACTTTATAATTCAACTCACAATATAAACACTTTGTGAATATCAAAACTTAACGACTCAATATACTAAAATTTCAAATAAATATTTCGTAATTCTAAAAAGCAGCATAATAATTTTCTACTTTTCTAAGCTTTTTTTGTGACTATATGTGAGAAAAATCTCAACTATAGTTTTTAACTTGTATTCGTTGAGATCGTGATTTGTTCTTGATAAGATGACTATTATAGTTGTGATAATAAAAATATTTGATCTCGTTAGAAACAAGCTATAAGCACGAACTCTTTTTATGGTAAACATAATTCATTAAGGTCTACAAGAGACGTAGAGTGTCGGTGCAAAAGCGCTTTGATACTTAGCAATGCTTCCTTGTAAGCTATTGAATTTTTTGTAGGGCTCCCAGGTTTTCGGAAAGCTTGTATTTTCGAATTTTGATCTGAAGCTTTGCGTATATAGAGAACTCAACGAGATTAGCTTCTTTCAAAAAAATTCAGAAATTTTGAACAAAGTCTCTTCGATATATGAAAGTTTCAACATACAATCCCTTTTTCATGCATACTGTATGCAATATTCATTTTTTGAAAGTTTCATATCTCAAAGAGATTTTGTTCAAAACGTCTGAATTTTTATGAAAGTTAGTCTAAATGAAATCCCTATATGCAGAGAAAAACCGAAAAAAAAAGTATTTTATATCTTCGAGGCAATTATCAAATTTCATTACAAGTATCAAAATACGGTTCGATTAGATCAAAAAAATCTCTAAATCCAGATCTTTTTAGAGTATTTATTAGAACACTATGTGGTATCTATAGATAAAAGCTTATTGAAATTGGAAGCATACAATTGAACAGGTTCTCTCGTCAGCGTTCGCTATCAACTCTCAAGCGATTTAATCGTGCTGTCGCTGTTACCCAAAATATCACTAAGTTCTTTACCATCATTTATTTTCGTTTTCATTGAAAAAATTCAAGTCGCTGCCGTCGATCAATGCACCGGCTTACGCTTTTAGGTGTGTTCCAGTGCTTCAGTGAACACTGATGCTATTTTGTACTAACTTCACTGAATCTGTGGTCGATAAATTGAAACTGCACGCCCATAATAATCAATGATGAGAAACTTACAAATAATCAGTTTAGTATAAAATGTACAAACCTTTATTCTATTTAAATTCAGAATGATTTTGTTTCTGAAAAAATAATTACTAGTTGATGTTTATTTTTTAGAGCTCCATTTGATACAGCAATAATTACATTTATTGCACTGTGTTTTTTATTAGCAACAACTTGGTCAGAAAATTATGGTGATGCTAATGCACCTATTTCTCAATCATTTTTATCAGCTTGGAAATCAATTAAATCTGGTATTTGATTAAAAAAAGACGATACATCCATATCTCTTTATTTATTTGTTTTATTTTTCTATAAAGATCGAAAAATCTTTCTTTTGGGTATTGTACAAGCACTTTTTGAAGCATCAATGTATGTATTTACACTTGAATGGACACCAGCATTAACTCAAGTATTAAATACTGAAACTATTGATAAAACAGATAGCAAAAATCCACCAATTCCACATGGTTTGAATAACAAAAAAAAAAAATTAAAATAAAAATTTACTATGTTTAGGGTATATTTTTGCAAGTTATATGGTAGCAATGATGATGGGATCAAATTCATTTAAAGTTTTTTGTAATTATACAACGCCAGAATCATTTATGAGGTTGAAGAAATTGTTCATTTATTTATATTTATTTAATTAATTGATTCAATATTTAGATATATTATTATAATGTCGGCATTTTGCTTGAGTGTACCAGTTTTTTTGCCTCAAGTAAATCGAAATCATATGTTAATTTTTATTAAATTAAAATAAAACAATTTGTTTCATTTAATAGAATCAAATAGTAATGTTTATTGCATTTCTAGTATTTGAATTTTGTGTTGGTATATTTTGGCCGTAAGTTTAATTAATAATGAATTGATTTTAATTTTAATATTAATTATTTAAGAGCAATGGCAACAATGAGAAGTAAATATATATCTGAAGAAGGTTTGTTTAAAGAGAAAAAAGTTTATTTTTTATTTATCGAACTTAATTGTTTCAAATTTATCTAGCTCGTGCTACTGTTATGAATTATTTTCGCATTCCATTAAATTTTATCGTTGTTGTGATACTTCTAAAAGTTAGTTATATTAAAAAAAAAAAATTTTTTTTTTTTTAATTTTTTATTTATTATAGGATTTCCATTTAAAAGTTATTTTTGTGAGTTGTGTATTTTTCTTGGGTCTAGCTGCTACAGCTATGTTTTTATTACATCAGTAAGTTTCATTGATAAAAAAAAATAAAAAAAAAAATAAAATCGTTTTTTTCGTTGTTGTTCTAGATTATCACTTCATACGATTCATTCATTTTCGCCTGTTAATAAATTATTAACTGAACAAGAAGAAAAAATGTTACAAGCTATGAATTCATCAACAGATGAAAATGCAAATAAAAATGAACCACTGAGAAGTTCTACGTCTTAAATTAAATTTTAATTTTCTTTTTTTTTTGCCTATTTTTAATTATAATCTCAAGTTATATTACTTCTTGTGTGATAAAACTTGCATTCTGATGACTATAGTACGAACAGAAAACAAAAAAACAGCAAATATGTGATCATTGTGTAACTTGTTAACCTTTTTGTTTTTGTTGTTTTGCTTTTATGTTGGTATAACTATGCACTTTCTTTTTTCTTGCTTTATTTTATTCAATGTCATAATGGTTTCGAAAAAAAAAAACATCATAAAAAAATATTTCATATATATGAAAGTAAATAAAAAAATATGTGACTTAAGCACTATATGATCGTTCTTTTGTTCTTATAGTACTTTTGGTTTTGAATAAGTTTTTATACATATGCAGTACATTTTGTCTATTTCACAATCGAGGGATTTATCATATTAGATAGTCAGTCAGTTATTGTACGCTAGTCTTTTAGCTGAAGAAGACGACGATGTTCTATATATAGAGAAAAGTGAATGTGATGTACACAACATATCAGAAAGAAAAGAAAAACGAACGCAATAGTTTTATCGTTTATTTTCGTCAGTTTATGTTATTGTGAATAAAATGGTCAATGTAAAAAAGATTCAGGTATATGTCATCAAAAAGAAAATAACTTCTCAAAATAATCAATTCATTACAAAAACTGAATCTTAATTTAAAATTTAACCTTTTTTTTATCATTGATTATCTCGTGTGTACAGTTTAAAACAATGCTATGGTAATTATAATATAAATTTTTTGTAATTATAAGTCTTCTATGTTTATCAATGATTATTAATTTAGCTACACTTGTTTTTTTACATTGCTAACATTTTATATCAGAGTACTTACATCACAAGTAGAACTATTTACTGTTTAAAATTCATTACATAATCTAAGTGAATTTCATTCAAGTCCATCAATTATTACTGATTTGAAAGAAGAAGATAAAATAATTAATGATAAATTAGAAAATTTATAAATAATAACAATCGAACAAAGTTAAAGATTGTCAAGAATATTATCACAAACTGATATTTAGTTTAAATTAAGTAAGAATTTTTTATTTAAATTATAAAAATTTTTAGAAAGATGTTCTTTTTTTTAATGATGAAATTTACTATTGAATAAAGTTATACATAATAATCTATAGTGTGAAATTTTCACTCATTTTTCAGTCACTTGAAGACCAGTGAAGAGATAAACAGAATTAAATAATCGAAAAAGAAACTAAAGCTCAAAAATATGAATATATTGTTTGCCAAACAATCTATTCTCCGATTAATTCAAACACATACCTGTTAACCTAATAGATATTGCTCTTAGCAGACCAATATAGAACCTACTGAGGAGCAGAACTTAACTCTAAATTGTAATAAAAAGTTTTCTCAAGGGTTTCCTCTTGGAAAGTAGTAAATAGAAGAAAAACGAGAAATGCCCAAACAAAAAAAAAAGAAGGAAAAATAAAATTATTAAAAGTTTCTTGACATAATTAAATAAGATTTTAAGCATAGAATTGTCAAATATTAATTTCATATCCAATACGTCGTAATTTTTTTGTTGAACCCAATTAAGAGATTCTCAAGAAGATATTCCAATTCTTGGAAATAGTTCTATTCAAAACTTGACTATTTTATAATTGAATTATAATTATTTATTTTAGCTAATATCATAAATTGCATTTAACAAGGTCTTCGAGAAATTATTGATGATGAAGCAATAAAACGTTTTACATCTACTGAAGATTTTAGTTGTATTGATTCTATTAATGCGTACCTAACAACAATATGAATTATTTTCATTACGTATTACATCAGTACGCTTTATTGGGTTTCTTGTACGTTATTTAATTTTATTGCCGTCTCGTACTTGACTAGTTTTTTCTTGCCATTTTTTGGATGTTGGATTCGATTATATTTTAAAAAATATTTTCCAATACATAAGGCAAAATTAAAATTTGGATTTTATATAAATATTGTTTTACGTTGTATTTTATCGCATGTTTTTTTTCAAGTATAAGAACATATCATAATACAGAATATCATACTAAATATGCTTTTATGTATTGCTAATTATACGTAATCTATTGATGTTATTATATTGTTCACTGATAATATTCTTCTAATGATTGAACAAAAACAAAATGGATTTGTTGGTTTCATACAAAAAAAAACAGCATCACAAACAGTAAATCATATATGATTTGATCATGTAGAAACTAAAGATCATCACATAGCTGCTGGAATAATTCAAATAATTTATCAATATTAATATTTCATGAAGATACTTGTATAAATAATACATCAGTTGAATGGTGTTTGAATAAGGTGTCACAATTAAATATGATTATCGTTTTGGTGATGCTTATTATTTATCATTGATGAAAATCGAAAAAAAAAAGTAAATTATCAATTAATTTTGCTCATCATATTTAAACAACTATTGTTAAATAAGGTGATTTTGTTGATTTAGAATGGAATGGTGAACGGAGAAGATTTTATGAAATATTTAACATAGTATTACGAACATTAAAAAAAAAACAATTGTTATTGAATACATTAAATTATTTCTTTTTTTTAATTTGTACGAGTTTATTTTCTAAAAAGTGAAACATGTTCTTATTCATTTTTATTGACTGGATATATTTTTCTTTTTTCTTTCTTTTGGTTATTATAGATTATTATCAACATCATGCCATATGATCAACTACAGAAGCCACCTCGTTATTCATCAACTTGTATGTTAAGAAAATTGCCTTGTTTTGTTAAAATAAAATTGTTTAATTTTTGTAGATGAAGATGATACATATCAATATCGGCATGTTATTTTGGATAAGAATATGTTAGCATTAATTCCAAAAACTCGTCTTATGGATGAATGTGAATGGCGTGCATTAGGAATTCAACAAGGACCTCATTGGGAACATTATATCATTCATAAGCCTGGTAAAAAATCTTCTTTCTAATATAATTCTTTTATTATATTTTCTAATAGAACCATTTGTACTCATGTTTCGTCGTTTATTAAAATATCGTGTTGAACCAGATCCAGCTATGCAACAACAAAATACTCATTTTCCAACAGCACGTATGCCAATCAGTGCAACAATGAATATGTCTACAAATCATCCACTTGGTGATTCAACAAATACAACAAAGAATATGAATATAGGCGGCGAAAATATTAATAATGGATTTCGACTGATTATTAATCCTTATAAAAATATACATGATAATATTGATGAAGATAATAATGAATTACGAGAATCAGGCATTGCTAGTTAGCCTGGTGATGAATAGATAACTATTGTGCATTGAATTTTTTTTCCTTTTAATTTCATTCGTTCATCGAATATCATAATCCGATCAAATACTTTCTTTTCATTTATATATTAAAACAAAAAGAAAAAAACTAAAGAGAATTATTTAATTTATTTTAGATTAGGAAAAAAGATATATATCTTATTTGTCGTCATTTACACATTCTCCTGCTGTTTTTAAAATTTATTTTACCATTAGTAATGGCCGCTAAAGACGCTATTCAAAAAGAAAAAGATTCTCAAAAAGAACAGATTTATTATTCAGACACTTACAAAGACGTATGATTTTTATTTGTTTTCGTTTCTTTTTCGATTGCTTCCTCTATTTAGGAAATGTATGAATATCGTCATGTTATTTTGCCCAAGGAAATTGCTAAGAAGATACCTAAAGGTCGGCTACTAACAGAACATGAATGGCGACATCTTGGTGTTCAACAATCCCTCGGTTGGGTTCATTTTATGATTCATGAGCCAGGTTAATAACAAAAGAAAAATATTGAAAAAAATCCGAAAGAGTTTTGTTTGATATATTTTTAGAGCCTCATATTTTGATATTTCGTCGTTCGCTGAAAGTTAGTCAACAAGTTCAACAGCAACGAGCTGCAGCAGCTGCTGCTGCTGCTGCCCATGCTCAACAGCAACAGTTCAATGCTGTACATATGAAATAGTATTTTCTCTTTTTCTTTTGAAATAGATAATCTCTCGTTCTACCCGTGACATAACATACCACATTGTAGTATTGGGCATGTGTGTACATTTTACTCTTCTCTGTCTTGAAATAATCCAACAATTACTTTAAAAAAAATAAACAGAATTAATGAATTCTTTCTATTGTCTATCTATTCATATCTATATTTATGTGCAGATCTACGTGTGTATTCTCAATATGTGTGTGTGTGTGTATTTAGAACTAATGTGAATTATTTTCCTTTTTTGTCTTTTTTGTTGTGTTTATTGTTCTTAAAAAAATTCGTCATATATCTTTTTCTTTCTGTGTCGTGATTATGATATTGATGAAAACAACTATTCGAAATACAAAATGAGTAATGGTGTTATTATAAGTAATGATTGAAATACAGAGCAAGAAAAGTTAAAGCAAAAGAGGCAAACATATAATCTGTTATTTGAACAGATAAAAAAAGAGATATTATGGTCAAAAATACGAAAGAATATGTTTAGAAAATAATAACTTTTTTCAGATTGAGAGAAAGGTAAAGCTTGGTCTTGTGTTCAATACGTGTAATACTGGGTCTTCCGTTTTCTCCTGCATTATGAGTAATATAGATTACGCACTCAATGACGTTACAAATGCATGATAATTATCATAGGTATTTTTTGCGAAGGAGAATAAAAACCTTGCTTTTAAGAACCTATAAATACGAAGTGTAAACACGACAAATTATTCTATTCTCAAGCAAACACAACGATATAATGCAAACTGTAGGATATCTTACTGTTGTTATTCTTTTAACATTAGTAATCGAAGGTTAGTAATTTGTTAGAAGTGTTTATTTTAGTACGATTTTGTTATAGGTATATTTG